CATGAATTCATTCCTTTTCTGAATTTTAACTCTTCAAAGACCAGTTTCTTAACATTATGCCACTGTTGTTTTTAATGAAAGACAAAATAAGCATTTTCTATACTAAACACTGTTTTTTTTTTTGTTTTTTTTTCACAGTCTGGGATATGTTAGTGATTAGCAACAATGATTTTGATACATCAAATACAGCAGCAGTGGAAAACATGAACATAGCACAGCCTTATGAAGCAAACATGAGAAATGGTAAAAGAATGCATGATTTTATTAGGGGCACTTAGAGCTTAGTGTCTGTATTTTGGCTACTCTGTTTATTATAGACTCATTTTAGTAGCTGAGAAAAAACGTACAGCCATGTGGACATGTATGCCATATTCATATACAGCCGAAACAATTGAAAAATGAAAAAGCCTAAAATGTCCCTAATGATGCATACAAGTTAATGAAGCCGTTATACACTCACTGAATACAACAGCATCGCCATGAACAGTGAGTGAATGATGTGTCATCCACCTGTCCTGCAGGTTCGTGGTGGGCTCCAACAGGGTGATCTTCATGCTGCGGGACGGCAGTGTGGCCTGGGAGGTCAAAGACTACCTCGTGTCGCAGGAGCGCTGTATGGACGTCACCGTGGAGGGACAGGTGTTCCCCGGGAAGGCTGCCAAGAAAGACGACGCCAAATACAAGCAGCCCAACGAAGTCAACACCAAGAAGAAGAGCAAAAAGAAGGCTGAGACCAAGAAGCCCGACTTAGAGGGGAACAGTGCCAGGCATCTGAAACAGGAGCTGTGATGGAGGCTCAGGTCTCTTTTCTTCTGGCCTTAGACATGCATATTGTGACAACCAGCCTGTCAGCAGTAAGCTGTTGGGGGGGGCTGCAGGGGGAGCAACCCTGACTGGTCCAGCTCTCCCTCATTGGAACATGTTGCAGTGATTAAGTCATGGTTTAACGAGCTCTTTCAATCAATGCTGTATGGGTTCTTCACATATTTTTTGTTGTTCGATTCTCACCTAATGAAAAGCAATGCATTCAGATCTAGTTTGAAAGGTACTTGATTTAAGAGCCGTTCATCAGACCTCCAGGACTGCAAAGTGTTCTGTTGTCTTTGTTCACATCCAGCAGCATTTACAAGTACATTCAAAAGTAGCACCCATATTTTCTGTTTGATTTTTCACTGAATATGAAAATAAAACAATTTTATACAATCATATTGGATTTCTTCAGAAGATATATGCAAAGAAGAACATTTTCATTGATGATGTGGATATTGTGTCAAACAAAAGCATTGTAGATTGAGGTGTGACCAACAGGAAGCAAAATGTCCCCTGATTAAACCCAACACCACTCCCGTTCTGATGGACGACATTGTCATTTCTTCAGACTGCTGACATCAAAGGAGTTCTGCTCAATGCACATTGGTAAGACCCAGAGAGGCCAGTATGTACTACAGTTCATGGAGGGCAGAAATCCAACTTTCTGTATGAAGTCAAACATGTTCACATGAACCAGTTGGAGTGAAACCTTTCCACACGTCATTGAGCTGTTAAAGGGTCAGCACAGAGACATGAAAAGACGACGCTTCCCTCTAGTGGGACCATGCATAGAGCTTAGTTTATGATGCACCTCTGTCCACCAGTAGTGGACAGAGTGGAGTAGTCACTATAACACTGATTGAAAACACAGTGCTCGTTAACACACACTCTTAACTCACAATCAGGTTTCAATGTGAACTTCATGTGTTTTCAAAATTCAGTCCTGATCGTATCTTTCACTGAAACGTCCCTCTGAAACACGATGTAGCAGGCAGTGTATTCAGAGGACTGCAGACAGAACCGTCTCTCTCTGAACCGTCTGCTTTAGTATCTTTCTCTTCAAGGCCCTTTGTATGGAATACAAAAAAATGTAATGCCTTGACAAAACGTAATATATTTTTTCACATATTTTAAATAACATGCTGCGTTTTGTAATTAACAGCCTGAATGCAATATGTAAAACATTTTCCCCCGTCATAATATAGTATGCCATAAAAATACATTATAACTAGCTATTTAATATACTAGTATGACGTCAAAAATGTCAAATTATATTTTGGCAATAAAATGTCAAAAGCATACTATGTAGTAAAACAAACAGCAATATTGAATGTCATGAAATGTAACGGTACAGTATTTAATAAAATAATAAAATACATGCTAAAAATGATCATAGTGAAGTATGTTATAAAGTAAAATTATAGAGTTCAGCATGTGTCATGGCCAGGCCGTGCCTCCTGTTTCCCCTGTGTCCCTCTATTCCTGTGTGTCTCTCTATTCCTGTCTCTTGTGTGTCCCTCTATTCCTGTTTCCTCTGTGTGTCTCTATTCCTGTGTCTCTTGTGTGTCCCTCTATTCCTGTGTGTCCCCCTATTCCTGTTTCCCCTGTGTATCTCTATTCCTGTGTCTCTTGTGTGTCCCTCTATTCCTGTGTCTCTTGTGTGTCCCTCTATTCATGTGTCCCTCTATTCCTGTGTCTCTTGTGTGTCCCTCTATTCCTGTGTCTCTTGTGTGTCCCTCTATTCATGTGTCTCTTGTGTGTCCCTCTATTCATGTGTCTCTTGTGTGTCCCTCTATTCCTCTGTCTCTTGTGTGTCCCTCTATTCCTGTTTCCCCTGTGTGTCCCTCTATTCCTGTGTCTCTTGTGTGTACCTCTTCCGGCATTCCTATAAATAGCTACCTGGCTCATCCCGCTCCGCTCTCGCATTCCACACCCCTCCCAACCCTCTCTTCTCTTCCTGTCTTCTTCGTAGGGTCCCGAGGGGGGTTGTTGTGCCCGGTGGATCCCCAGACGAAGCTCCCCACAACTCATCCGACCTACTACTAGACGAAGTTCATGTCCAAGCCTCGCCCTCCATTCATGTCTCACAAATAAATTCTTAAAGGTATTCCGTTGATGGTGTGGTCCTTTCTCGTGAATGTTGCATATCACTCAATGCCGGTCATCTTATTCCACGAGCGGATGGCTGCCGTCCTCTCATGCGAGCGGTTTGGACTGCTTTGAAACTACTGACATACTAGCCTGACCACATGTATCCGATTGAGAAGGCGATTTGCCTGACTATTTATTTTGTCTTAATCCTTGATTGTTGAGAGGCTTGAAGTGGAATTAATGCGAAGCGCATAAGGCCGCTGCAACGAGCAGCCGGCAACGAGGGACGCAGATGAGGCAGAGGCTGAAAGACTTTCGGCTGCGAGTCATGCATGGATGGTTTGCTGGATTTAGCTGTATGCATGTTGCCGATCAGGTTGAGACAGGTGAAATAATCGGAACAGGGAAATGAGAGGGAGAAGGGTTTTCTTCTCTGCTGAGGAATTGGAGGTCGGCTTGGTTCATTTGCCATCCACTTTGGTTCACACTGGAAACACACAGACACTGGGCTGATGGAGTGTGTGTGAAACAGCAACATGAATATACTAAAGGCAGAGAGACAATAATATTTAAAGAGACAGTAGCAACGCTGTTATTGTGTTGCTACGCTATGGGATAGAATGACCAGCTGATCAGCAGTGAGAAAGGGCTTAGTGGTCATGCTGATATGTGACTGACCTCCACGTGGTGCTGAGAATATAAAGGATACTGGAAATGACAGGGTATGTGAGTCAAACGTCAGCATAAAACACAGTACTTGTATGTTGCTTTGATTGTTCTGCATGAACAAACAAATGTGCGGTTCAGTCACAATGACATTCAGACAAACTGGTCATCATCATTTATTTCTGTACAAAAGTCCTCAAAGAAATTCAAAGTCATGGAGCTTCAATACTTTACAGGCCCAATCCACATATACAACACATCCCTTTGGTGTACACTTAAAACAAGCCAACTTTACCAAGAGTCATATGCATATATGCAGTACGAGTGTCTGATACTAATCTTTTTAAATGGAGCTATAATGGTTTCTTACATACAGGACAGTAATAACATTACAACTCAAAAGATGGCCCTTGTAGATTTTGATCAACTGTGTCTGTACAATAAATAAGTATAAAATATATCTCTTAGCAATCTGTGGATTTTTAAAAACACATTAAACATACAAAACACTAAATTACTGCTACAACCTCCGAAAAAAGACCAGCTATTTCGGCAAAGGGAGGAGAATACTTTTTCTCGCCAGATTGAAACAAAGGTTTCTGTTATTTCTAAATGGGGAAATTGCACATTTAAAGATTGAAAGACTTTTTTATATTCATGGGCTTTTTGCTGGTTCACTCCAAAAATACAGACAGATGGATCACAAACACTGACAGGAGAAAAAACATGGGAGGAAAACAATTATTACAAAAATTACAATATCAAGTAAAAGAATGTTTATCTTTTTGTTTCTTTCTTCTTCTCCTCTATTCTCTCTTCATACAGTTTAGTCAAACAAAGCAGGCATATACCCAAGCAAAGAAACCAACTTCTACATCTGTCACATACGTACCACAGAGACCTGCATGGGAAGGATGCTCAGTGATGCACATACATTAAACATGCATTTGATTAGCAAGCTCACACTTTTCTCTCCCTCTGTTCTCATACAGGCTTTGCATCATAAATCACTTTGCAACCGTATAGCTGACGGTCCATTGGAGAATTAGCCAGTAGTTGTATAAATATCAAACAATCTGACTGGAAAAAGAAACTCTTGGAAATTGTTGTTAAATGATCAACGTAAAGGTGATTAATTGAATAATACGCTTTTTTTTTCATAATATAGATTATCATGAGAAAGGGAACTGGCAAGCCCCGTCGCCTACGAACCGCAATCATACACAACTCTTTGTAATAGCATTTACGTTTCTTTACAATGTGCTGTGCCAATAAAAGAAGTAGTGTGAAAAAAATAAACATCCAGAGAAGGAAAGCTCATAGTTCCACCAAATTCTGTTGCATTTGCCTTTTGCTTTAGTTAGTTTCGACTGGTGTGAAAGCTGTCAGATGGTGCAGACCAAACGGGACTGAAACAGCTTGGACTGAGACTACTTTCTAACTTAAAGACTGAACTTTCATGCTTGAAAACAAATGTTCGGCCATGGACAGATTATGAGACCCCTGTATCCCTGGGCACAGACATGTCAAAGATCTTCCACCCCTCCAACATAAGAGTAACTTATGTTGGAGGGAGACTAACAGCTATGAATGATAAATGGCTGCTTGATTTTTACTTGTGTGTCTTAATACCATTTTGCAGATGAAACAGAACTATCAGAGACTTCTTAGCAGTTATTTGTCTCTTCCTTGCTGTTCTGCAGCCCCCTGACCCCTTTGGACCCTGGGCTTGTGCCTGATATGCTCGCTCAGCATTCCATCCATGATCACAATCTTCCCCTTTTGTTAATATCTTTTTAGTTTCCAGGCATGTATATTGAAGAACTATCCAACTGAAAAGCACTGGCACAAAATCATTTGCAGATTTGTTAATTATAACTTAATCTGGGTGGCATCATGTTTTCTACTCGTACAAAATACTTGTGTACGATTGTCATTGGTAGGAGTTTAGTTAGATACATGTATAACTCCAGCTCTGTGAGCCTCTGTGTAGATTGATTTTGTTGGGACTAAGGGCCTCATTATCTGAACTCAGAAATTTACATTGCTCTATAGTGGTTACAGTCTTACCTCTTCCAGGTAAAGTTGCTCTGCCTTTTCATAAGGGCTCTTGAAAGAGTCAGTTGAGGTGGTTTAGGCATCTGATCTGGGGGTACTTGGTTACATCCAACAAGACAGTGGCCCCAGGACACACCCAGAACATGCTGGCCAGGGAACACTTCAGGGTTACCAGGAAGAGCTGGAGGATGTTGCCGGGGAAGGAAACTCTAGCCTACTTTGCTCCATTGCTCCTAAGTGGTCACAACACTCTCACTCTCCTATTGGCTAACAATACCATCAACTTGCTCATGTCATCCTATTTTTGGAATGGAAAACAGCCATGACTGAGGAGAACTCAAGCCCTCTTTCTTCATACAACTACTTCCACTACTTTTTATGTGAACAAACTAGTGCAACACCATGAACCCATTTGAAGAGAGTGTGCACCATTATTCCCATTTGAACAATTATTGCACCTTAATGCTCTCCAAGACAAGAGGCTTTTTGCCCCATGTTTAAGTAAAGAATAGCTACAAACACTTTTCCTTTAGATGTGGTCAGACAACATTTACAATCTAGTTTGTGTGCAAGTTTAGTCTGGCCTTGTGTCCCCACCAGATGGACGTGAGGAGGCTTGCTGGGTCACAGGGAGTAACATAGGGTCAACATCCCTAGATGCACAAAGGTGGCAAAGTGATAACCAGTTTGCACCACTGTGTCCAAGAGGACCTGCCATTCAAAATCACACAAAGGTGAAATGCTATTATTTTGGAATGGGAGTGAGAGAAAAGCAAGGAGACAGATTCCATCTGGTTGTCTGCCAAAGCAGCAAAACAGGAGGAATAGCCATTCAGGGGAGCTATGGACAATGGGTATGTGCCACAATGTGCTGTTAGAGGATGCTGTCAGACGTCAGCATCCTCCAACAGCATAGTCTCACAGCACCCTCCAACAGTACTGTCTACATTGTCTGACCGCGTCATCTGATATAATCAGTTTGCTTCTTCTCTTTGTAACTATCTCCAAACTGTTAGACGCTCTTTTTCATTCTTTACACAGCTCCTTTTGAGTAAAGTCCATTTCCACATTCGCGTCTTGCCCTCAATGTCAAGGTCTTCACTCTGCCTTCTCATGTGACTGTTCATTTTTTTGTTTGTATGAACTAGTTCATTTCAAGCATAGCTTTACCTCCAAAAAGCTCTTTCTAACGGTGTCATCCAACAGTCATACCAAAGGGTATTGAGTTTTTTGCTGTCACGTCAGAGTGCAATAGCGAAGTCCGTTAGAGGGCAGAATATGTTCAAAATGTTAAAAGGCTGAACTGTCTTTAGTCCTGATTTCTATGCCAAATCTTTATCGGGTGTAGCAAAAGAGTTCATATTTTTGGCTATGTCAGAGAACTAACAAGCCTACTGAACAGCCAAGCTAAGATAGTGTTCAGTCAGAAACAGGACCAATATCGGTTATGTCATTCCCCTTTTGTTATTCCCCTTTTCAACACACCAAATCACATCATTCTTTATCATTGCCAAATCTAGAAAAAACACCACTGATCCTTGACAATGGCTTGGAGCAACTTACTGCAGCGCTGGCAGTGTGTATGTGTATCTGTAAGTTTGTGTCTGTGCATTTTGTGAATGGGGGGATTGGCAATGTGCGTCAGTATCTGG